TGTGTGTGTATACAACCTGCGTGTCCAGAGCGTACGGCTACGAGGATCTGTGTGTGTATACAACCTGCGTGTCCAGAGCGTACGGCTACGAGGATTTGTGTGTGTACACAACCTGCGTGTCCAGAGCGTATGGCTACGGGGATTTGTGTGTGCATACAACCTGCGTGTCCAGAGCGTACGGCTACGGGGATTTGTGTGTGCATACAACCTGCGTGTCCAGAGCATATGGCTACGAGGATCTGTGTGTGTATACAACCTGCGTGTCCAGAGCATATGGCTATGAGGATCTGTGTGTGTATACAACCTACGTGTCCAGAGCATGTATGGCTATGAGGATTTGTGTGTGTATACAACCTGCGTGTCCAGAGCGGATGGCTACAAATACATGGAGAAGCACATAAGTAACGTAAGGATTTAGGAAGCCAAAATGAGTAATATCTCCGCAAAGAGAGTGCATCCTGGCAACACACTTTCACCAAAAGGAACTTTACTGCAGAAACCGAGGTAGAGATGCTTCTAGGACACAGATCCTTTCTTCATTATACCTTTCTAATCCTTTCTTCTGCCTTTCAGAAGAAAGGAGACACATTTTCCAACCTTTCATTCCAAGCAGGGACGCCCTCATGGAGCCGATGTCACCCTCGTCCTCACGGGTCTCTCCCTCTGGTCATCTCGTGTGCCACGCTGCTTACCTCCGGCACGGCCCCTCCTACTCCAGCTTTTCAACAAAGTTGAAAAGGGACTTCTCACAGATCTATCTATGCTGAGCTCAAGTGGGCTAACACGAAGTTTGCTGTTTTACAGAAAAGATATACTAAGCAGGGTGCTAGGAGTTTATGTGCCAACTCATTTATGGCCAGAAGAGTTTGCAATTCAGGCGTCAGTACACCTCTCGGAAGATCTCTCTACTGCCTATGGAAGAAAGACATGGTTTGCCCCAGTAGACCTGGTATTACTAAGGGATTAGTTACACAATTAAAAGAAAAAAGAAGTGGATACAGCTGCAGTTTGTTCTTAGGCCAAGTTCATGTTTCCTTCTAAATACATTCATATATCTCAACTCTCAAATTTCAGTTCTCATTTTTAAGATCCAATGGAACAGGAAGGTCAGCTCCGTTCTGACCGGGAACTGGCAGAGAAAGATTAGCCATCAGAAATGCGGCTTAGGTTTATGGACAAAGCAAAGTGTGACTCAGTGCTAGTTTAGCCTGGGAACTTGGAGCAAAGATAAAGCCAGGGCATTCTCATATCAGGTTCAAAAAACTGGAAGTTGAGCAGTGTTTGTTAACTGTTGGCCAACTCGTCTTGTTGCAGGTTTATAACTCACTCGTGGCTGCTATTTCAAATTACCCAGATGACACCTTATTTATTGGAAGACCATATAAGGCCCGACTCTATCACTTCCTATTTTTACTGTAAAATGGAAATAATTACAATATCCATCAGCATAGCTCCAGTGAGCAGTGTTCTTACCATTTGTGCAGTGTCTGCCCCTAGAAGCAGCCCTGCCCACATGCCCGGAGCTCAAAAGCTGCTTCTTTGAGCTCCACAGCATCACAGTCCTCAGGTATTTCTCACATCATGGGGCGTTAGGTTTTTCAGACACAAAATTAAATGTTAAGATTAATAAACAGACTTTGCTAAAGCCACTATCTATTGCTTTATGAACTTATTAGCTCATCATTCCTGCATAAAAGAAACCAATTTCTTACAAACAAACACCAAAATATAAAATTCACAGCGATAGCCGCTGAAAATGAAAGGCGTGTGGGCAAACCTAAGAAAAAGAACTGAAGTGTCTAAAACCAGTTCACCGACATGTTGACTGAATAATATTTTAGGAGCATTCTAACCTTAGGCATTTTAATATGAAACTTAAACCCTGAAATTATAAATTATATCTGGATATAAATTTACATTTATAATAGAAATGGCTGCATCAGGGAAATTTTAATTACATATTACATAGAAAACAATCAAATACAGAAATTTCAGTACCATTAAAAGATATTTGCTATCATTGACCTTGCTCAGCAAAAGTGGAATAAGATTTGGAAATAATTTTTTAATATAAGTGGGTAGAGGCTTTATTAAGATATATTAAAAATTATTTAACAGAAATTTCCAGAATCGTTTTTGCACAAGTAATATTAAGTTTTATTTGTATGATGCCATCGCCTCACCAGGGCATTTTGAAATCTTATTGTGTTCTGTCCTGACTCTATAGAAGCCCTTACTCTGTCATCCACCGGCTATTCAGCATAAAATTTATTGTTCTCTTTTCTGTCCATGATATTGACATTATGGGTTTTTATTAAAGCTCTCAGTGACTCCTGATCCCAACATATGGTTTCTATAGTTACCACTCACCTTTAGACCAGCGTATCTGTGCACTCACCCCTGGAGGGAAACAGCACTGCAGACAGTACAAAGCTTCTGTGACTGTCACCTCTGACCATATTCTTAACACACGGCCAAGGAAGGACAGAACTGCCACCAAGCCACTGCGTTCCTGTGCTATCATCACAGCGAGTATCTGTGCAGGGCTGACAATTAACTGGACGTGCTTTCACATTGATATACATCCGCTGAATCTCACAACGACCCAACCCAACAACCTTTATCATCCTTATTTTATAAGTAAAGGATTAGAGGCTGAGAGAGACTCTGGAATTTGTGTACCAGCAAAGGTACCCAGCAGTTAAGAGCTAGGACATGAACTTGAACATGGACTACAGAACAATTCTCTTGATTCTAGGGATATCCCTCATATCCAAATCTCCAGCCACACTCTTGAAATACTGTGCCTTACTTCATTCAAACAGGCAGAGAAATGTCAAAAATGCCCATTCCCATCCAACCTGGGAGAATGGGGTTATGTCCCCCTGTTGAGAACTCTGCCTTGTGGATGTGATCAGAATGCAGCATTTTAAACACATCGACAAAAGAGACAGATACACCCCTTCTTCTGCCACTCATATTTTTCAAAAATGCTTCTTGATCCACCAAAATGAAATGTATATGGTTTATGTCATTAAAACACACAAACTACCATCAAAAGCAGTTCACATCCCCCTTGTCTGATTCTCCGGTAATGAATTCTGACTCAAATGTTAATTTTACAACTTCTTTACCTTTCATCAGTTATTAACCACAGAGTTCCTTGGCCAAACTTACTTTGTCTAAACCCAACTACATCTTCTTTCCTTGTGTTCCCTCGGAGGCAAAATAAGGAAGCTTGGTGGAGACCCCATCATATTACCTGCAAGGGGGGATACGTTGGCCTGTGTTCACATCACACTTTGGTACCAAAATGGTGCAAGCAAAGAACATGAGGTATTTGTAACAGTTGGTTTGAACAAGGGCGGGGAAAAGAGAAGACTCCCAGCTGATGGAGGCTTCCTTCTGAGTCCTGTGTCCGAGGTGATTCGGGTAACTCGTATAGTTGTAGGGCAGATTCATGCAGAGCTCCAGTGTAATGGGTTCGCACCGACCTGATAAAAAACACACATACAGACATGTATTTTTAAAGATTTCACATGTCAAGACAACTTGCTTAAACTTTATAAACTTGAAGTTTACTTTACTCTCTTTAGAGTAGCTAAGACTAGTATACAACATTTTTTTTTGTGGATATCAAAAAATAAGTATTTTGTAAGGGGAGCCATAGCAAACTGTACACGCAGGTGCCCACACAAGACCCAACACTGTGCTTTAGAAAGTCCTTTCCTGTCTCTCTCCTGGCTCAACTTATCTTTAAATGACTCTTTCATCATTCCTTTCATTTGCTGCAATTCATCTTCTTTTTCTGATTTATTTAATACATCTAAAATAGTCTAGCCCCATCATCTTCATAGCCATTAAAAGGTATGAGTTTTGGCAGGGTGCGGCGGCTCCCCTACCTGTAATCCTTGGACTCTGGGAGGCCAAGTCGGGTAGATTGCTTGAGCTCATGAGTTTGAGACCGGCCTGAGTGAGTCTCTATTAAAACTAGAAAAACGAGCCAGGTGTCAAGGCAGGTGCCTGTACTCCCAGCTACTTGGGAGGCTGAGACAAGAGTATCACTTGAGCCCAAGAGCCTGAGTTTGTTGTGAGCTATGATGATGTCACGGCGCTCTACCCAGGTTGACAGAGCGAGACTCTGTCTCAAAAATAAACAAACAAAAATAATAAATAAAAAAATATGAGTTTCATTAAATAGGTAATTAGATAACTTCTGACTATGTTTTATTGTTGATCAACAGATTTAAATACAAAGCTACAAGATTTCAAGGCAAGAAGATGCTGAAATGTATTGGATATTTCTTGCCTATGAGATAAAATCCAAACCCCTTAGCCTGGAATTCAAGGCTGTTTCTCACTTCAAACACAGCCTAGTTCTCCAAGCTCACTACCTGTAACTACCCCATCGACAGTATCTCTACTGCGATGAATTCGATCACCTTGTGATACCAGGTATTCTAAGAATTGCCTGTCTTCATCTTACCTCCTCCTTTTCTTAACACGAGTGTAATAAATTTTGTCAAATGTGGTCACAAGCTTAGCTGCCAGGCGCAGACAGCACGTACTGCCTTGAATGATTCCTTCCCACCCTTCCTGCCAAGTGAACTTCTCCTGGGCCTGGAAGACTCAGCACAAATACCTCTTCTGGAAAAGGATTCTGGCCAGCTGCTCTTCCCATTACTACTCCCAGAATGAGTCTCTTCCTGCGGCTATGACCCCTTAGGCACAGTCCTGTCCTAGGCTGGTTGCATCCTGCTGTATTCTTTGTTCATTATACTTAACCTGCCTCCCTCACACAGTTCTGAGACTTTGGGAAATTGAGACTTTAATCTCGATCTCAAAGTCTGCACCCCACATGATGCCAGAAGGAAGTGAGGACAAAACGGAGAAAAATATATCTGGAACTATGTACCCCAGGCACTCCAAGCACAAAATAAGGAAAAATACAGTCCCTGCCATTGAGGAACTCTGCAGTCCCCATAGGTACAAAGACTCGTGTGCTGGTGGCCGTATCAGAATGTGAACAGGTTAGGATGGAGTTTGTCGTGGACTGAACATTTGTGGTCCCCTCCCCCAGTGCATATGTTGAAACCCCAGTCTCTACGACGATGGTATTTTGAGGTTAGGTCTTTGGGAGGTAATTAGGTCTCCTTGAGGTCTAGATGAGGGTGGAACCAGGTGACGGAATTAGTGTCCTTCTATGAGGAAGAAACTAAAGCTCTTGCTGTCAGGCCAGGGTACAGCTAGAGGGCGCTGTCTGCAAACCAGGAAGCAGGAGGGCACCAGACCCCAGGCCTTGTGCATTTACCGACACCTTGATGGTGGATCCAGCCTTCAGCACTGTGAGAAATAAATGTGTGTTGTTAAACCATCCAGTCTATGGATGGTGTTTCCTTGTTGCAGCCTAAACCTGCTAAGACAGCAGAGGTGAATAAACTGCTAGGAGCCTGAAGGGACAACATGGAGTAAGAGAGACTCAGGAAGCCTTCAGAGAACAAAGGGGGTCTGGGCAGGTTTGGGGGTGGAGAGCCTCCCTGGTCTCTCTCTGTCTGTAGTAGATGTGCCACATTCCCTGGGCTGACAGAGGTCATCCTGCAAGCATTTCAGTAAAATTAGCCAGACAGACCCAAGACCTCATGCATTATTAAGAGTGATTATTCATGGGCCATGCCTGTGGCTCAAAGGAGTAGGACACTGGCCCCATATGCCGGAGGTGGTAGGTTCAAACTCAGCCCTGGCCAAAAACTGTAAAAAAAAAAAAAAAAGAGTGATTATTCAACTTAAAATTCATTATTTGGCTAAGAAGTGGTATCCATGTACAAAGATAGCCATAAGGACTTGCGCAACACATTAAAACAGCTCCAGGACTATTTAATAATTTAAGACTCTGAGGGCTTCACAGATACTTATATGCCTGACAGTGGCCAGATAAAAATCATTATGGACAAAATGTAATATGATTCTCAGTTTCCCCAGAAAGACACAATGTTGTAAAGTTGGTATAATATTGAGGATGAGTCAGGGTACAAAGAAGAGTGGATTGGTTCAGTTTATTATTTCCTTGATCTGCGAGAGGAGTATTATGGACTAAATGTGTTCCCCCAAAATTCCTATGTAGAGGTCCTAACCCCCAATGTGGTAGTATTAGGAAGTAGGACCTTTGGGAGGTATTTAGGTCATGAAAGGGCAGCCTGCTCCAATGGGATTAGTGCCCTTATCAAAGGGAGCCCAGAGATCTCTCCTGCTGTCTTTCCACCAGGTGAGAACACAGCCATCTGCAACCCACAAGAGGGTCCTCAGCAGAAGCTAAGCATGCTGCCACCTGCTGCCACCTGCTGCCACCCTCATCTTGGACTTTCAGCCTCCAGAACTGGGAGAAAAATGTCTGTGGTTATAAACCATCAAGTCCTAATAGTTTTGGACTATACGATTCAAAAAATGCAGGTTTCTCAAAACAATAAGAACAATACAAAAATGCATCATTTCCCTGCTCCCCTTTCTTTTGCCCTCCCTCAAAGCCAAAGCCAGCTTTGAATTCTTCCGCATCTTTCTCTTGCTCAAATTTAGACATGCAAGCATTCACACACTTAGACAGAGGTCTGCAATCGCTTTTTTTCCAGAGTGGAATCACAGTATTCCTGTGACTCTTGAACTTGCCTTTGTTACTTAATTATCATGACCATCTCACAAGTCAGTGGATGCAGTTCTAACTCTATGCTTGTTTCCTTAACTTCTTTAATATGTTTATAACTTTAAAGAAATGGAATCACTTACACAGATCTTTGACGCAGTCTTCCCCCCCCTCCCCCGTACATGCCATTCCTTTCTCGTTCTTCCCTTATCACCTCATCAAGGTTTAACTTTTTATTGGTGTATTCCATTTATATGATTAATAGAACATATCCCATGAATCATTTTTTCTCTTTTAATATAAGGAGAATGTATCACTTTTGATTTGGGATAAGATATAACTTGTGTTTCAGAACCAAGGAAAATGAAAAGATTAAGTAATAATCATATATTACTCTGGAGATCTTTATTAAATGCAGTGAGGTTGACTGGAACTTGTGTTTTATTCCTTAATAAGACATTCTTCACAGACTGCTAAGCAAAATAAACTTTCAATATATCTGTCATCCCCAAATCCAATGATTTATGATATCAATAAAGTTTTTTTATCTTAAGCATTAAGCTCACTCATGAGCCTGATTTACAATAACCACTAGAGGGCAGTCGCATCACAAATATGGAAAGATTTTCACTGTCACTGAAGGATGTTTCCAATACAAGGTTGATACAGCGCTCAGCGCAAAAATGTCCTGAACACAGATGAGGTTGAATAAATATCCGTCAAAAAATATATTGATAGAATAACAGTGATATCCCACCTTTCAGAGTCTGAAACAAGATTTGTTCAACTCAAATCCTGAAGTCACTGGAAATCATGTATTAAACAATGGTCATTCTCATGAAAAATATAACTTGTATACCTCCAGTAGCACATATAATATTCAAAGATTTGCCTTTAAGCTTTGCACAGTGGCAGTATCGTAGCCAATGAGGTTTATCTGAGGCGCGATTATTGCTAATTGAAAACTTTTCCCAATACCCCGCCGTGACGACCTACAAGACAGTCAGCACTGGCAATTTCTGATGATCGCCACAGAGACTGAATAAAAAAGGAAAAGAGTCGCCTTTAACTTGAACTTTAAACGTCCCTGAAACATTATTATTATTAATGATGTGATGAGTTAGTATAAGGTGAACACCCTGTAACTACCACTTAGGTAGAAACTTTGCCAGACACCCCAAAAACCCCACCACATGCCCTGTGTCATCTCGACCTTCTCCTTTGCCCCCAGAGTAACTGAGTGTTCTAATTGGGACATCTTGCTCTTCCTTATAGCTTTACAAGTGTGCAGCACACTTATAAAGTTACTGCGGGGTAAACTTCCACATTTCTCTGAGACTTGTCTTGATTTTAGTCCCTTATAATCTCTTATAAGCTCCCCCTCCCTCAATCCCTTTGTTTTTCTTTATGATTAAACTACTGAAGAACCTAGGAATTTGATCTGTAGAGTGTACCTGAGTTTGGATCTTGCTGATTGCACACGACTGGCGAGGTTAAACGTGTTCCCCGTCCTCTCTAGTTCCTGACACTTAGCAGGTGGATTCAGAGGCCTGATTAGGCGTCATCCCTTTGGCAGGAGCACCGGGGCTGTGGTGTTCTTTCATCAGAAGCCACATCTTACCTGATTTCCCTCTTTTTGTGACATCAGCAGCTATAGACACGCCATACTTTGATTCATTAATTCACTGTGCTATCGAATGGTATATCCTAATACAATCATTTATTTTTTCACTTAGTAGTTGAAAATGCTTTTATAAAGATCTGATCATTGCCCTCCTCTACTATTTGCTGGCAGGGACAAAAGTCTTTAATTGTTATGGTGTTTGTCGACCCCTTAGACTATATGCTGCTTCCAACTAGAGCTTACAAAGAGAGAGCAGGAACTTGAAGCAGTGGAAAATCATTCAAAGAGAACCTGTTTATTTCCTTCCTTGGTGTTGGGTAAGTGCCTCCTAAGGTGGAGGGAAAAAGTGCATAAGTAGCAGCATAGAAATAAAGGTCGACAGAAGGCTGTTGAGAGACTTTGGAGAGGGCCTGGGCCATGACAGTCGTATGTGGCTTTACCTGGCCGTGGCCAACATGGGCACTGGGCGGCGGGGCAGACGTGCCCAGGAGGTGCTCTTGCCGCCAGTTCCCCAGCTGTCTGGATTGCTCACTGCAAGGAGGAGGTGAGGGATCGACCGAGGGGAATGGCCTTCCTTCTCCTATTCCTGAGACAGGGATTCACATCTCTACTTTGCATCCCAGTAAGGAACAAAGATGTTACAGATACTGGTACGTCCTGTTGTGGTAACAGAGACCACTAAACATGGTTCCTTGGGGAAAATGTGTATTATTAGAGATGTGGTTTTTTAGGCTTTTAAAAAAATAATAATTGTAAATACTTGTGGGAATCTAAAATAAGCCACGGACCTTCTCCACCGAAAATCGCACATAGGAATATAGAAACTTTGCACATTTGATTTCGCAGGTGTCTCACGCACAAACCTCTGCAGCCGAGTCATAAAGAGGCCATGAGTAAAGCAATTCCCAACCTTGGTCACTCGCTGCAGTCACATGGGGCATTTAAAAACACTGGTGACTGGGTCCCACCCAGTGTATCTTCAAGTACCATTAAAAAGTCACAGAATATTTTATGGCATGGCAAGAACCAACATCTTCAAGGACTAGAAAGCCAGGAACTCCAGTGGGAGGCTGGCTG